ACCAGATTAAGTGGCAAGTCAAATTGTTTCTTTCTTTAGCTCCGTTTCTGGTCTCCGCCCAACTACTGGAGATTATTTCATCTTTTAGGCTGCTAAAAAGAGGTTCTAATCATAATAGTACCTAGCAGCAAATCCAGTAATAACCATTGGCGCCTGATTTTTGCGGAAAGTATGATCGTATGGAGAACAAAAGTTGGAGTAATATGTTTCGTTCAAGCAGATCCATCTTTACAGACTGACACCATGCTTTTATGTGTTTGAAGCTAAGCATCTTACCGACGTAAATAGGTCATGTGCATTCTGTAACAAACGTTACAGCCAGAGTCGCATGAGGTTTAACGTGACCCAATATCAGGATACAGTGGTATTTATGGTAGTCCTTGCAAGATGAAGTAGCAGTCAAATACAGGGGGCTGCGTGTGTACAGACTAGTCCAGAAGCATGAGGGGGTGGCCTGTGACAGCGTCGTTAAATAGCAGAGAGAGGTGTACAGGAGTCACCAAGGGATGCAGAATTACCGTCAAGGAGCGCAGGGTATTCAATGTTTGGTTCAGATTAGACTAAGCGGCTGCGTATCAATAAACATGGGACATCATATGTCCTATCTCCATGCGAGCTGGAAATCATCATGTTAACTCACATGGCTGATCATATGCGGAAAACGAGGGCCTGAGTGCTCTTCTAGGTAATCATACATCGTGCGTGACACACGCTACGGAGTGGGCCTTTGTATGCGGTGTGGCCTACTCGTGGGATCTAGAAGAGTACATTCAGTATTTTTCCCAACAAATGTCACCAAGTGGGGTATTTATGATGCTAGAACGAAAAAGTGGACCTGCTTAAACAAAGTACTAGGCTAATAGTGCAGATTCATTCGGGCATTAAACCAAGATATATCCCATTAAAACTCCGAATTGTCTGTAGACGCCGTGAAACCTATTAGTTGTGAACCTCACATCATGTCGGTTTTGTTTCCCGCAGCTCTATTATAATCGTAGTTTCCCCCGATGTCTCGAACTTTAGTCTGTCTGCAGGTTGTGCGGTTTGCATGGAATGCATATGTATATAGAGATTCTGGAAAAACAGCTGCCTGCTTTTGTTTGGTGTTTACAAAGCAATACAATTACAGCCAGACAGCTAAGCAATGAGCTCAAACGATTAAGCTACTGTAAGCCAAGGTCGCTGCAAGATTCAGTGTGTAATTCTCTGTAGGCTCCTCACTGACGAGCGAGATTACTTTTGTGTTTTTTGTTTGTTGTGCAACATGAAGTGATGAGAAATCAACAAAGCACTAAAACTTAATGCAATATTTCCCATTGGTCAATCAAAAAACGCCGTGTACTTCCCTCTCACCCTTTTTTATAATAGGGAATTTCTTATCTCTTTTGTTTTTACTGTACTATACATCCTCAGACGAGGGTGAAACATAGCTTTGTTTTTTATTTTTTTTTTTGACTAGAGAGTGTCAAATGCTGAGGGCAGGAGGTGTTCACGTCGTTATCCCCACAGCATAACACTTTAAAAGCAAATTGAAACATATCGCCATTTCTTTTTTTTGACTGCTCCTTCGGGCCTTATTTTGATACAATGTGTCTTGTCGAACAGACCTCAGGTTTGTTTAGATAGTGTGGTATTTTATGGTTATTGTTCATTCCTTGAATAGTTGTTCTGTGTGCGCCATTTTTATATGTATTCAAATTGATTTTCCACTACGCTTTTGTGTTTCCAGCATTGGACTTGTGTTTGATCTTTGTCTTTCTTTATGTCCTTACCTGTTCAAGTTCTTGCCCCACCGCAGCGGTCACCGCCGAGCTCTGCTCACTCAAGTAATAGAGCGCAGGTTTTATATATTATTATTGTTCATCTTTTAATTAATGTTTCTGATATCATCTTTTAGAATAATTATTATATAAGCAATTTCCTTTGTTAGTTGCATTGGATTTCGTCAAAAGAAGAATATTGTTTAATTTTGTTTATATTCTTAGTCTCTGTTTGTTATACTGTCATTCTGTTATTTTTTTGTTTCTTGTAATTTTCTGATGTATATCTTGTTTGTTATTTTGTATTTTCAAAAGGGTTTTGCTGATTTACAGAGCTTTCTTTTAAGGAGACCTATCTATGAATTGCATAATATAATCTGAATCAATATATGTTAGGGAGCGACGGAATACCCAATTTGAATAATATATTGTAGGGCCATACCTATATAAGGTATATTTATAAGTTTTATTTTTCAAAATACCAAACAGATCATGCATTTTAGCCATGCCTCATTTTGCCTCACTCCAGCTCTGTCTTTGCATGAGCTGGAGCCGACCCCCCCCCCCCCCTGCAAAGGAGGGGGCGAGGCACAAGCGTCATGTTACTATGCTGTTGCCATGCTGTTGCTATGCTGTTGCCATGCCACGGCAACCTCTCATTCCCCTGATAGGTGGAGAGTTGACCATACAGGCGGAGTGCACCTCTGTGACATCATAGAGGTGCAAATCAGAATCCACATGTATCAAATCCGTTGCAGCCCCGTTTTTAGAGATTTGGGTATGGAGGAAAAGAGAGAGGGTTGTATTTTCTGACACTTGGTGAGTTCCCTGGAACACCGGGGACACATATTCATGTATAAAAGACGTACAAAAGTGCATTTTGCATGATAGGTCCCCTTTAAGTAAGACAACTATCTTTTAAAATATGCCTGCTCTGGCACTAAAAAACACATCACTTTTTAAGGTTATTTAAAAAAAGAAAAATGTGACTGAACATGTTTTATTTGTTGGCATTAATCCTGTTTGGGTGTATCATAATATACATTAGACGCTTGCATTTAATGCACGAGACACATGAAGTGGTGCATGTCTGGAGGAGAAGTGCTACCGGCTCCTCCTATTGCTCCAAGTTTAACCCTGCTAGTTATACAGATGAGTTTTGCTTCTTGTAATACTTTCTTTTTGCAGAATATATGATAAAAGTCTTTAAAATAAGTTTTCTTTGCAATGCAACATTTAACCCTATAACCAACAGTCATCAAAGCTGTTAAAGAAAAAATTGAAACAGCTTATTTTGTAATTAACACAAAAGAAAACTAAAACTGGGTGTTGCTTTTGCCTTGAAACATTATTAAGAAAGAACGAGATGACGTTATTATATATTATCCTTAGTTACAATGTTTTTTTGGTGTATACCTACAAATGCTGTTTGCTGTGTGTGAATGCATTGCAATTCATCGTATCTTCTTCACGCTTTTTAAACTGTATGATTCACTCTTGTTTCCCCAGACAAACCGCCTTGGCCGTGTATGTCCTCTCTCTGATCGGGATGGTCATCTACACCTTCACCCTCAACCTGGGTTACCTGTGGGTGGTGTTTGTCACAGCTGGAACTTTAGGGTAGGTAGCCATTAGAGAGCAAGGCAATTCACATCACAGACAGGGGGAAAGAACAAGTGTAACCATCAACAGCTATTTCTGTTTGAGAAATCTTGAAGCTAAATCCATACCTCATAGCAAAACACACCTATTTTGTAAACTTTAAGGTAGTAGGTAGTAGGTAACGTTTCCATGTAAGAAATGTGACTAAGGTACCAATCTGTTTTATTTATTTGCCTGAAATGGCGTGGTACCTCCTTTGTGCATGGGTCAGTGTTGTGGTTTGCCAGAACGGGTCATAAATTGACTTTTTTTCCACATTTTGTGCCACTTATTCTACGCACTTGGTTGTTTTTTTACCTCTTTTTTTAAACCACCAGATAAAGGGTTTTATGTTATCCGACATCTGAATATTTAGCTATCAGAGAAACAAGCTGAGCAAACAGTAGCAGGAGCTCTGCTCTCAGACTCCTCTGCAAAACAGTTTCAAAGAAACACTTACTTTTTATCGTAATGTGTTTGTTTAGTGTCTTTACCAGATTACTTCAGAGAAGGAGACCGTTCTGGATAAAAAAGGCAGGCTTAGCAGCTCTGTAGTCTGAACTTTTCTAATGCTGAAATGCACGCGACATTCCGTCTGTAGTTCAGGTTTCTTTGCATTTCTGCTGCTTTGTCAAAGCAATACTAATGCTCCACTGGTCCCTCAGTCCACGTGATTTGTCTTTACAATTATTGCTATTTTTGTTAAGCTGATTAAATCCATAACTGGTTTCCATAGCAATTCCTTGTTTGCTTTCATTTCTGCTTTCATTTCTGAAACCCAGACAGGATTTATTAATATACCGCAATGGTATATGGGCCTTGGCCTCCTTTTTAAGTGCAGATAAAACACTTTAGTTTGGCGTTTAATTTGACCTTCGGTGTTTGCATGTGTGTCTGCAGCTTCTTCATGACGGGATATCTTCCTCTAGGCTTTGAGTTTGCAGTAGAGCTCACATATCCAGAGTCAGAGGGAACCTCCTCTGGACTGCTGAACTGCTCAGCTCAGGTCAGTAATGATAGCAACGTTTAATACAAATTTACAAAATACAAAATATGTTGGTTTTGGGATGTAAACTTGAAAGGTTTTATTCTCCTTTCAGATCTTTGGAATCATTTTCACCATCTCCCAGGGGAAGATTATTGATAGATGGGGCACTTTTGCAGGAAACATCTTCCTGTGTATTTTCCTGCTAATAGGATCTGTACTGACAGGTAGGATATTAACTTAACAAATACCACAGCTCGAAAAACAAGTTTCAAAAACTAAATAGAACTTTGAACTCATCTCGCCATGTGATATCCACAGGAATTTTAACACAGTGTGTATTTTAGACTTGAAGCATGACTAGTGTTAATCCAGTGTTACACACGCTACAGGCATCTTTCATGAGATGAGACAGCCCCCTAGTGGCTGAATAAAGGACAACCACTAATATAAAGCCAATCGAATGCTTTCTAACACTTCTTCACTTTTAAAGCATTATGCTGATTACTTTTTGCCATTTATAAGATAAGATAAGACTTTATTTATCCCGAAGGAAATTGTTGTGCCAGAGTAACAAAATACAATAAACACAATAATCACTGCAGCACAACAGTAAAACTGTACACTAAAAGTATTGGTTGTGTATCAACAATAACACCGTGCAAAATATCTTATATTCCCTGACATTTGACATGTAAGTAGTCACTTTCAAGATGCATCAGGTTTTGGAATTAAACCCCTGTTGCTGTTTTCTATGAATTGTGTTAACTCATTGTAAAGATCCTGAAGTTGTAACACATTTGTGGAGGTAACACTGCAACCAGCGTGGTTAATGCCGTCCTGAAAGAAGTTGCCACTGATGTGCTATTTAGTTACATTTTTTATAATGATGGTGATTAACAAATGAATCCAATTCTACACATTTTAAATGTTCCTCATGACAATTTGGAAAAACATACTGCGCTAACTTTAATAAGAGCAAGACCTCAATAACCTTTTCTGTCCCCTTTATCGTAGGATTAATCAAGTCTGACCTCCGCCGGCAGCAGGCCAACCTCCAGCAGGCTGAGGTGCGGACAGTGAGTGTAAGTACATCTGTGTGCGCTACAGGAAGTCAGAGGTGGGCTTCTCTGTGGTCCTCACACTCCTGCAGGCATGCACAGGGGCAGCGCTGCATGAAACTGTCCAAACCCACTAAAAACATGTTCTACTCTCAGACAGCAAGGCACACTTTGTCTGAGAGCTCTCCAAATCACCCAAACAGCATGTTTACCATCTGGTGCTTCAACAATTTAATTTGTTCTCACTAATCCCTGGCAAAGAGTGCAGATGACAGTGTCACAGGATAAAACGTTTCTAAATCACTCTAACTATGTGATAACATGCAATTATCAAATACAATTGGTTGTAATACAGTGGGGCAAAAAAGTATTTAGTCAGCCACCAATTGTGCAAGTTCTCCCACTTAAAAAGATGAGAGAGGCCTGTCATTTTCATCCTAGGTATACCTTAACTATGAGAGACAAAATGAGAAAAAAAAATCCAGAAAATCACATTGTCACATTGTCTGAATTTTAAAGAATTAATTTGCAAATGATGGTGGAAAATAAGTATTTGGTCAATAACAAAAGTTAATCTCAATACTTTGTTATATACCCTTTGTTGGCAATGACAGAGGTCAAACGTTTTCTGTAAGTCTTCACAAGGTTTTCACACACTGTTGCTGGTATTTTGGCCCATTCCTCCATGCAGATCTCCTCTAGAGCAGTGATGTTTTGGGGCTGTCGCTGGGCAACACTGACTTTCAACTCCCTCCAAAGATTTTCTATGGGGTTGAGATCTGGAGACTGGCTAGGCCACTCCAGGACCTTGAAATGCTTCTTACGAAGCCGCTCTTTGGTTGCCCGGGCGGTGTGTTTGGGATCATTGTCATGCTGAAAGACCCAGCCACGTTTCATCTTCAATGCCCTTGCTGATGGAAGGAGGTTGTCACTCAAAATCTCACGATACATGGCCCCATTCATTCTTTCCTTTACACGGATCAGTCGTCCTGGTCCCTTTGCAGAAAAACAGCCCCAAAGCATGATGTTCCCACCCCCATGTTTCACAGTAGGTATGGTGTTCTTTGGATGCAACTCATCATTCTTTCTCCTCCAAACACGTTTAGTTGAGTTTTTAACCAAAAAGTTCTATTTTGGTTTCATCTGACCATATGACATTCTCCCAATCCTCTTCTGGATCATCTAAATGCTCTCTAGCAAACTTCAGACGGGCCCGGACATGTACTGGCTTAAGCAGGGGGACACGTCTGGCACTGCAGGATTTGAGTCCCTGGCGGCGTAGTGTGTTACTGATGGTAGCCTTTGTTACTTTGGTCCCAGCTCTCTGCAGGTCATTGACTAGGTCCCCCCGTGTGGTTCTGGGATTTTTGCTCACCGTTCTTGTGATCATTTTGACCCCACGGGTGAGATCTTGCGTGGAGCCCCAGATCGAGGGAGATTATCAGTGGTCTTGTATGTCTTCCATTTTCTAATAATTGCTCCCACAGTTGATTTCTTCACACCAAGCTGCTTACCTATTGCAGATTCAGTTTTCCCAGCCTGGTGCAGGTCTACCATTTTGTTTCTGGTGTCCTTTGACAGCTCTTTGGTCTTGGCCATAGTGGAGTTTGGAGTGTGACTGTTTGAGGTTGTGGACAGATGTCTTTTATACTGATAACGAGTTCAAACAGGTGCCATTAATACAGTTAACAAGTGGAGGACAGAGGAGGCTCTTAAAGAAGAAGTTACAGGTCTGTGAGAGCCAGAAATCTTGTTTGTTTGTAGGTGACCAAATACTTATTTTCCACCATAATTTGCAAATAAATTCTTTAAAAATCAGACAATGTGATTTTCTGGATTTTTTTTTTCTCATTTTGTCTCTCATAGTTGAGGTATACCTAGGATGACAATTACAGGCCTCTCTCATCTTTTTAAGTGGGAGAACTTGCACAATTGGTGGCTGACTAAATACTTTTTTGCCCCACTGTATATTGAAAATGAATGTCATTTAAAAAAAAACTTGGCATTGCTTCTGCTCATCACTCATTGCCTTCTTAAAGAAAAACTTAGAAACTATTTTTCTTTCTTTCCTTTTTCTTTTACTGTTAACAATATTCCAATTCTAAATCCACACTAAAATAATAGCTCTGGTTATCCTGTACACTGAAATGTACATTTAACAGATGCTCCTTTTTAATTAATGGAATGAAAGAACCAGCAGTGAGATAAATAGGAATACAGGCACAACAGTTGACATGAGAAGTAATCGGTGAAAATCTATGAAAAATCTATCTAAATAAACTGTTAATTCATCATATTTGGTATAATTTACTGCTAAATGACTAGATGCAGGTCATATTTTCCTCTCTAAAGGCAGTGTAAGTGTGGCTGCTGGGTGAAATGCAGGCAGTCTAAGTTGGGTGTTTAGGGTTTGGTGGTGGTGGTGTGGGATGGAGGAGATGGTGGTGATCAGGTGGCCCCTCTGGGACCCTCTGGGACCCTCAGAGGAGTGACCTCCAAGCTATCATTCCAGCCTACAGGCTCTGTGACATCGGGGAAGGACTACGGGGCCACAGCGACCGTCCACTGGCAACGGCAATCTTGACATAAACCCAAAACCTCATTAAAACCAAAACCTCTTCATCACCAGTAAGACGATACTCTACACAAACACACAGTGATATTTGACAGGAAATAAAACATATTTTTAACATCAAAAAGCCACTGAATCTTCTAGAAAAGTATGCAAAACTGTAACAAAAAAGCACATTAAGTTTCAATTTACAAAAAGAGAAGGTTTAATCAATTCTGAACAAAGCAGGACTGTTATTTCTAATAGAAAATGTTATAAACTACTGAGCTGCAATACATTCAAATCCACTTCATTGTGGAATAAACCATTTTCTTTCCTGATTTCAGCCTTTTTTTTTTAACTCATGGTAATAATTTCCTGCTAATAGGATTAGTACTGACAGGTAAGACATTAACTTATCCAAATACCACACCTGTAAAAACAACTTTGAACTCATGTACGCATGTGAAATGAACAGGAATTTGAACGCAGTGTGTATTTTAGAATTAAAGCATGACTGCTGTTAGTCCAGTGTTACACACACAACAGGCATCTTTCATAAGATGAGACAGCCCCCTCGTGGCTTAATTACAACTTCCTACAAATTAAAGGCCAATTGAAAAAGATGAGTTATTTGTGAATTCTTGACATCAAACAGAAAAATATGCTTCTTAAAAGTCCTTAACTTTTAAAGCACTGTCCTGATGACCTATCGCCATGGAGGTCAAACAGGTTCACCTGCTGGTATCGTGGAATAACATTATTTTATCTCCAGATTTTCGCCTTTTTTTAAATGTATCATAAAAATCATGATTTCCTGCACTTGTTTTTTTTTTCTTTTGCTTTAATCAAATCTGTTAAAAAGGAAATGAAAACGATCATTAGACATTTGTGATTAACTGATGACTAACTGAGTGATTTGATGAGCACAAAAAAAGGTATTGATAATATGGATTTAATGCCAGAGTAGAATTAAAGTTTTAAGATCTTTGATTCTCAAGAAATGAATATTATGGTTTATGTTAACATTTAGCTGTCTTTCTGAAAGCTGTGATGAGTTGAGAATTTGTGTCATCTTGTTTTCATTTGTGATAATTAATATTTGTTTCCTTTACAGAAAGCCACGGCTGAGTTAGAAGGAGCCGTACCGCCACCTGCACTTCTGAAAGAGGGGAAGTGATAAGGAGGACAGACTCTGACAAAGATGCTGGTGACTGATTCATCACAAATACTGTCACTTTAACATGCATTAACACACACACAGGAGCCACAGAGGAAGAAAAGCTGCAGTGAAGAGTGAGCAGAGGAGAGTGAACCCCTCTGAGCAGCACTCTGTCAAACATCTGATGTACTGTACGTCCACACACTGGTTCAAACACCAGAGACTAACACTAATGCCCAGGTGCAATGTAGCTCATCCCAAACCAAGCACAAGGCAATCATTCACAAGGGGAACACACTTGGATCCTCGTAGGTTTTTAAAAACATTGAACTCATCATCTTATTAAACATTGATTTTACCCAATGGAGGCATTTCAGTGCAATGCAACTGCCACTTTAGTGTTTTTAATTTTTCCCGAACTTTTAACCGTCTGATTAGTGTTGATTCAGTGATCTATGAATCTTACAAGCAATATTTTAAATGTGTTTCCTAATACTTGACCAATTTTGTGTGTAACTGATCTCAGTCTTTACATCACTGAAGGCATTCATTAGAGTGCAGTGTTCCTCTCATGTTATCATCTCTACCTGCCATCCAGGATCACATGGAGGAATAACTTCTGCATACTTTTGACTATAAATGTAATTGATGCCGTGCATCAGTTTTGTCTTTGTGTAATTGTAAGTGATCGCTACTACACATTTGGTGTTAGATATCTAGATTAACATGCAATCAAGAAAGTCTGGAACATGAGGAATGTAAGCTCGGCTCAAAGCGAGACAGAAGGCAAACAAATCTGTTGCAGTTGACATTTTGCACAATAAATGTTTTAATGTGAACTTTTTCTTAGGGTGTCAACTTGTGTGTGGGAAATGTAGTTCATGCTATATAACTAGTGTGCCATTCAAGGGTTTCACACTGTTCAGTGGGGACTTTCAGGTGATTTTATAATAAATGAGATTTTAAGGTGCCAGTTTTTATTTCACTCTTTTTTAGTAGGCCTACAATTTACTCTGCTATGAAAAACTCTTTACCCCAGATTTTGTTACCAGCCAATACATTCTATATTTTCATTGAATAAACAGTGTAGTGTTACCTATGACTCTTAAGGAACTTATAGAGTAAAGACATTGTTGACATTACAAACCTGAATAATAGGACTCAATGCAGCTCGTTTTGTTCCCTATCTGTGTGGACAAACAAAAAGGTGTTACCGTATGCCTCTTTCGATATAATGGGGGAGTTAAAACAAATGTAAAATTCCTATCATGAACCAGAAAATGTAAAAAGACAATTGGAAACTAGAAAACACCAAACGCTTCACTTTTAAACGTTTTATAGGACAATAATTGAGCGTACAAACATTTCACAGCACGAAACAAACATACAGAATAACTCTTTATATTTGTGTTTATGAGACATTGTAATAAAGAGCATAGTTTTAGACTGTAGAGTCATCTGTGCTCTTCGGTGGATAATGAATAAAATATATAGGAAGTGGAATCATTTATGAGCGTATACACATACAGAGGATTGTCATTTAGCCTGACAGTAAAGATACTAACTAAATGAAACCTCCATGTATAGATCGTTCGTGAATTAAGTAGTTATTAACCAGCACAGATTCATCACTAACATGACCTTCCGTCCGACCGTTTGATTGCACTGAAGTGTAAAATGTCAATTCAAAAACACCATTTTATGTAGTCTATAGAGAGGGTTACAGTGAGAAATGAATGTTCAAACAGATCTCATGTTCTTCAAGGCAAGCAGCAGCACTCTCGGAGCTGGTCACTTTGAGGTGCGATGGAAAACTCGGGACTCAGTTACGCTTCTTCTGTCGAGCTCCGACTTGCTCTTGTGACTCTGGGATGCACTGATACCCAATCAGCATTCCTATGATGGAGAAACCTAGAAAAACACATAAAAATGTTATTAGGATTTAGAAAAAATATGTTTTAATACATTAAAACCCGTAGATGTATAATTAAGGGGATACTGTATTTCCTATCACTCCTCACTCACTTGCCACAATGAGAGGAGCCATGACCCCGATGGTCAGAGGAGCAGTTTTGTAGATGAAGGCTTCGGACAGGAAGTGGCCTAACGCCAGCACAAATGTCCATAAGGTGATGTGATAGAGCCTGCAGGAGACACACAGTGGAAACAAACAGTAAGAAGACTGCCAACAGAAACACAAAAGGAGGTGCAGAAAGTGAGAAGCTGTCTTACGTTTTGTTCTGGATATCAATGGCACAGGAACAGCGGATGATCGATGACAGTAACGTCCAAATTCCAAATGTTCGAGCTTGGAGACCATTAACTGAGGAAATTAAACACAAACAGAAACTCAGGAATGAAAGAGTCAAAAAAGGAACCATTATATTGTCCAACAAAGACTACTGAGTGAGCAATGTTTATCATTGTAACTGCAAAAGGGTCAGTTGAGTACATATCTCTAATTCTCTAAATGTCGTTTTGTAATTATAATTGAGTTTCCTCATCAGACTTCTTTTAAATCAAAAATATTGATATTGGCCCAACATCCAATAACAGTGTGGACCTAAACATTAAAGATTGTTTTAGATGTTTGGGTTATGGCCTCTTAATATTCCTGACTGTTTACACTGATAAACAGTCCACATGTTTTCTTAGAAGCTGACACAAATTGCAGATATTCTTTTTCTATTCAATGCTATTTTATAAACACCTGCCAGCACCGACATCAGGCTCATTCGAGTAAAATGTGTTTTGATGGGACATTTCATGTTGTACTGTGCATTGGTGTTGTCAATAAAACCTGCTTTCCTCACCAAACTCTGGCGTGCCTGTGTAGAGCTTCTCTGATAAAAAACTGTGATCTCGGAAGCTTTGCACGGTGTTTCCCATCGCGATGACCGAGACCATCAACAGCCAGCTCCGCAGGACGTTCAGAAAGCGACCCATGTTCTCTTTTTTCAGAGACGCACCTGTCACAGAGAAAAAACCATGATGTTATTTATCAGAGCAGGATTCACATGTTCAAACTGAAGGCAAATGCATGTGCAGCTCGATGGTCATTTAAAAGCAGAATTACAGGTGTATGTGTATGTTACCTGACTAACACACCACAGGACTGTCTAACAAGAGATATTCAGCAATAACTAACGTGACGTAGCAGGCTAACGCTGCTTCAACTTGGTTAACACAATTAACAAGCTATTATATAAAAAATAATGATAGTATCAACAATATTTTGTTCTTATATTTACCTGGCGGCCTTTATAAAACTACCATGTAAACGTGTTCCTTCGACAGAAGAGAGAACTTCACATTAAATGAGACTCAAACAAACCCAGTATGATGTTATTCTCACAACGGCAAGTCTTTCAATCTTGAACTCTGGGGTTGACCAATAGCAAAGCTTAAGAAATGGCTCCATTCAATCGTACCATTCATATGATTGGCCCATACGAGCAGTCAGGTTCCGCCTACCTCCTTCGCCAACCAATAGAAATCAAGACATCAGGTCACGTGCAGCCTGAAGCCTAGGCTGTGTTCGAACAAAGAGTATATAGCGAGCGAGAGAGTGATTTTTCTTGTCTTATGTTGTCGTGAATTCTGGTCAAGCGTAGACAGTGCAGAAGATGTATTTTATGTTCCCGTTTGAAAATGATATGCTGTACAAAAACACAAAGGACTGAATAGCCTATACTATTATTACCATTTGAGTACATCGAGTAACATACAATTACTGTCTCGTCCACCTGCGTCCAACCACTGGATGCAAAGCAAAGTTTGGTCATTTGGACAAATAAATATCATCCTGGACTGCGCATGCTCCCTGTTCTGTTGCTACTCAGTTGTTGTAGTTACCAGGAAGATTAACCGCGATGATCAACTGGCCCTGGTGATAACAGCTAGCTTAGCAGTTAGCTGGCTCTCAGAGTTAAAGGCAAGTTTGCGTTTGTGTGTGCTTGTATTGCATTTAAAAAACGTCTCGAGCTAAGCAGACTTTACATAGCTAGCTTCCTGTACCTGAAGTAGGATGTCAGTGAGTGTTATTAAGCTAACGAGTGTTTGGCTGCCTGTCTGGGTTTAGTCTTAACTGGACGTGTAACGAAATATAATTTCACTACAGGTAGAGCGAGAGGTACAAAGCATCTGTTCTCGGTTACCTGTGCTAAATGTGAAACACTACTTCAGGACAATACGAATAAGCATTATTTATTCGCTAGCCTCTGTATTAATATTATATTGTGCATGAATGGACATTACAGCTATACAATGTCAGGTGTTCTTGCAGTTGGTGTTGGTGTTGGTAGCGTCAGGTGCCATGGTGAAAACTAGACACTTGATCCTCGTCCTCCTCTCTCAATGTGAAAATGCCTGCTGTGGTCCGTGGTAAGGAGGACTCTGAGTCTTCCTCAGAAGACGAGCAAGAGTAAGTGTTTGCAAATAGTACTATGTCTACCGTAGAGTCACATAATAGAGACTATGGTGTACTGTAATAGTCCATTTAATTATTCTTTCTCTATTATTTTAGCGTATAATCACTGATCCTTAATCTCAATGTTAAATAAGGATTATTTCTGAACTCATTTTAATTTAGTTTCTGTTGTCATGTTTCTAATACCTTTGGTAAAGTCAGTTATTAGCCTAATAATGCAAATCACACACTTATTTTGGTGGGCTTTAGAGTCTACACAGCATTTGACACAGTCTATCCTTAGATCCTTGTTTCAGATAAGAAACAAATACCATAAAAACCTTTGCAGGGCTGGAACAACTCAGTGACCTTGTTTAGCCTTTAAATAGCAGCTCTGTGCAACTTCACCACACTACTGACAACTTAAAGTGTTCATTCTTATACCTACCTACATCTCATATTTGATCACAAACACTTGTGTGGGAGTGTTTCTTCCCTTTAAAACAGGCTTTTCCATTGATATTTTTTGCATCGCTTTTATAGCAGTTATACGTTTGCAAACTGTGGAGACACGTAGGACTTTGCTCACAGTCCCTGCAGCTTCTGGACGAGGCTCTCTGAATGACCTCTTTCTGTGTCAGTAAGATCCTTAGCCAACTGACCCAGCTACGTAGTACCTCACAACATTTCCCTCTAAATACAGTATCAGTGTGTCACCCTGCAAACCGTAAGCATTGTTCATTTTGTAATAGCTGTATTATATAACTATTTTTTCCCGTAGTTTATTGATCATGTAATGTTATCTGTCTGGCAGGATTAAAGAAGAAGCCATGTTTAATAATTTAAACCAAGCTACATTTAGACAGAATGACACCTCAAGGAAGCTTTTATTTTGCATAATTGATGAAAGTTTAACTGAATGACAGAGAAGAGCATCCAGATCATAGCTGCAACTGTTGCTTTAAGTTATCTTTAATTCCCTCTTAAGCTATTCTTAGTCGTACACTGGGCGACACTGTGTCTCTAACTTCCATCAGCTTAGTATAGATTGCATAGGGTTTAACCTCCCAGGGACCAGTGCTCTCTTCACTGATGGGGCTGGTTGAGATGCAACCAGAGCAGAAATGACATGAGTTTATTCATCATTATCACGCTGCTGTAATAGACCACTTGGATTTTATGTTGCAGAAATGTAGTATTTGCAGGAGTGCATCCTTTCCGACTTCAATTCATTACTAAACAAATAGGGACAGCACATTTGATTTAAAACTGTTCTTCTGCTTAACTTGGACTCTAATTTTTTCACTTAATTTGTTAAGAGGGGGTTGATATTAGTCAACATTACAGTTCACGGTTATGACAACAGACAACCTTGAATAATGCAAAGGGTAATGCAAAGTATAGCATTACTGGCACACACAGGACGATCACAGCACATATAAAGACAAACACATGTAAGTTCATGTACAAGCACACTAGCAATATGGCTTTAACCAAATAATTGTAGCTTAAATAGTTATACTTTGACAAATTATCAATGTGATGGCAACAATTTGGCCTTTTGTCTGATACTTTCTCTTTTACATTACATTTCACTTGTTAGACACTTTTATTCAAAGCAACTTACATATGCTCAATACAAGCGGGGTTTGAACCAACGCACTAACTCTCTGAGCCACAGCCTCTTTCCCTGTAAAATGTCCCTCGTCGTTATAGTTGTTTTTGTTACAAAATAGCTTGAATATTTAAGGGACATGCAACAAAACCACCACAGTGAAAAATCTATCTGCAGCTTTGTCTGACACACCTAGAAATGTAAACTAGGGGCAGCAGTTGCTTACATGCCTCGGCACCTTCTCAACAGCGGCCATGCCTGGTTGACTTCTTCTCCATCATCATGCTATATGTACCTTATCTTGTTTTCAGCCCCTGATAAGCAGGCTGTGTCTGGTACTATCAGATAGACTTCAGTTTTACAAGCGTGTTTATTAAAACAGCATATGGGTTTGTTATTGTCAAGCACCTCCTGGACATGTGTGTGGTTCTGTCTCTATCTGCCTGACTGAAATGAAGCTATTCACATCATCCTGCAGTGATTTGGTATGATACTGTTAATGGGAAGTTGTTTTCCGTAAGATTGTTATTTTCGCAACTTTTTTTCTATTTTCTGGATTTTAAAAAAAAATGTGTCTTTGAATGGTTTGTCCACTAGAGACCACCCCTGCATTGCCTGGAGCGGTGTCAGCAAGGCAATCCCCGTCCTGTTGTTTTTCCCTGAAGCAGCTGTTTCAAAAGATGGGGAAATCTGCTCTATTGGAGGTAAACTACAAATCTTTGAATGACTTTTAGAAAAGTAATGGTGGGATATTGAAAGTTTGGAGCCTTTAATACATTTAATACTAATTCTATTTTGTTGTCCTTAGAGCGATATCATTTGGCCTTCAAGATTGTGCGCACAGAGAGCCGCCTGGTACGAGGACTACTCGCCAATCATGGATTCCATGAGGTAATGTTCTCCAATAAATCATGCAAATTGAAAAGATTAGACTAAGAACCCTTTGTTTTTTTAAAATTCAGAATCATTTAATTTATTGCCAAGTAGGTTGTCACTTGCAAGGACTTTTTTACCGTTTTGTTGTATACTATAGATACATAAAATAGAATAGAACATTACAATAAAAAAATTAAAACAATACTTTTACAAATACGTTCAATTTGACACTGGCAGCAAAATGTGCAAAAATGTATAGATAGGGAATTTGCACATCATTTTTATGCACCTCTCGGCTCTTTATGATAATGTATGGTAGACCTCTTTTCATTTGCCTTGACATAAATATCAATGTCAAAGCTGGGGAATGCACCGAAGGAAAAAAAACGACCTAAAGATTTTTTAACGAGGGCACACAATACCCATTATGGCTCTTTCATAGCAGTTGCAATTAATTCCCTTTTTATTTCATTTCGATGCTTCTTGACTCCCGCTAACCCATCATCAAAGGCAGGCGAGGGTCTACCACTGCCGCGACACAGCCAAACTTCAATAAGCCATTTATTGCAAACAACCGTCTCTCCCCTCTCAACTGAATGTGAAGTCTGCCTCCTTATTGGAGTAAAACAAAAATAAAACTGATAAAATAATGTCAGGGTGATGAAGATCTGTCAAGTTGGCCTTTCACATGTGATCATTTCAAAAAGAGCTGTATTCCTCCAGATTATTGGTGTACGATCTGCTTCTTGGATAACATTTAACTGAGATTTCACATGTGGTGGACTTCTGAATATATACAGTATATAAAGAGATATCTGAAACTCAACGTGGAGAGCAATGGCTTTGTTATGTGATTTTCTGAGCACTGAATCTGATTTTTCTTTTTTTGTGTTCAGGTTCACCCAAACAGCAATGACTTTAACCTCATGTGGACCGGGTCTCACCTCAAGCCTTACATACTACGCAGCCTTCAAGATTTCCAGAAGGTCAACCACTTTCCCAGGTATAATAGAGTGTTTTAGAGTGTAAGTGTGTTGCCACTGCTTTCTGTGTTATAAATATCCCCACAGAGCCATTCTTAGCCCGTCAGTTCAGGCGGTGTGTTCGTTGGCTTCCACTGCAAAGCGCGCTTAGATTGGACCAGTGCCTCTCTGGAACATGACATGAATCACGCTGTCAGGCAGAGGGCGATCTATTGCTTGTTATGTATGCGTGTGTTTTTGTTCTGTCAGTGTCGAGGCTGTGAAGTGGAGTGCTGAAGCATTTTAAAACCAAGATTCTGCTCATTTCCAGGTCGTATGAATTGACACGCAAAGACAGACTGTACAAAAACATCCAGCGAATGCAGCAGACTCACGGCTTCAAAAACTTCCACATCGTTCCTCAGACCTTTGTGCTTCCCTCGGAGTACCAGGAGTTCTGCAGTAAGAACACCTCTCCTTGTGTTTCTCAGAGTAGACCTCTCCTTATGTTTGCAAGCA